ATGTTATTGATTAAAATGTGAGAGTATATTCATAAACATATAGAATAATATAAACAAAGGAATAAAGAATAGCTATTTATAGGAGGTAGGACTATGTAGGGTTCTTTGTCTTTTTAAATAACTTTCTGTGTTGTTTGAATACTTTTACATTATTATTTTTGTAATGGAAATATAATAAAGATATGCTTTCTGTAAAATGAAGAAAACCATATTATTCAGAAAAAAGCATCTGTCATATGCACAGACGTCAGTCTATAAATACCAAACTTTTCAAATTCACATGATGGACCAAACACTTTACAAAAGTACTAGATTCCTGGCAGTGTTAATGCACGCAGAGGCTGTAAGTAAGAGGGAAGGGAGAGAAAACAGATAATGTCACAAATATTTAAAAAGACGGCTATTTCCCCTCCCCTGAGTATTTGTGATTCTGGTTTGGAGACCTAAGTTCACTTGGCATCAACAGAGGGAGTCAGCAGCCTCTGTGAATCCTAACCATCTCTGAACCTGACTTTTCACAGTCAAACCTGCCCCCACATCCCACAGGTCAGGCCAGGCTGAGTCTCATCGCCACCTGCAGGAGTGAGAGGATGAAGACAAAGGTAGACTCCACCTAACCACGACAGCAGTGATGATACACAAACAACGAGCAGCTTTTCCTAAGGGCTCTGTGGACTTTGCTGCAAACCTCACAGAGAAATCTGAGATTGGTCTTGGAAGAAAACTAGTAGGTTACACCACTGTACAGGGACATTTTTTTTTTTTTTTTGAGTTGGAGTCTCTATCACCCAGGCTGGAGTGCAGTGGCATGCTTACGGCAACCCCAGCATCGACCCGCTGGGCTCCAGTGTTCCTTCCGCCTCAGCCGAATTACCCGGGCTGGTCTCGAACCCGCGGGCTCAGGCAATCCACTCACCTCGGCCTCCCAAAGTGCTGGGATCACAGACTGAGATACCAAGCCCGGTCCATTTTTGGTTTTTATATATCAACTGCATACTCAGCTACTACCCTATGGAACAATCTAATGAATTTTGTGTGAGTCTTTAGGCTTTTCTAGCTAAGAAAGATTATCTACAACTTTTCTTCAGTTTCACTTCTCAGTAAACTGTTCTGTTACTAGAACTCAATTCAGCAATGATGGCAAGAGGGGGCATGATTTTAAGACAAATGCCTTAGGATTTTCCTACAACGTATAAAGGACTCTATGGGTTTTGAAAAGCTGCCTGTTACAATTTTTTAATTCCTCTTAATACTTTTAAAAAATTGGGGCCAAGTATTGAAATGTTCATATTGCTTATTGACAGAATAATGAATTTCTCATTTAAGTTACTGACGTGATTCGATCAGGTCTTAGAAGTGGATTTCTTAGGTCAATGGGTCACACATTAAAATCTATGAACTATCTGTAATCCCAGCACTTTGGGAGGCCGAGGCAAGTGGATTCCCTGTGCCCATGGGCTCAAGACCAGCCTGGGCAACTTGGAGAGACCTCATCTCTACAACAAATCAAAAATTAGCTGGGTGTGGTGACGCACACCTGTACTTCTGGCTACTTGGAAGGCTGAGGCAGAGGGATCACTGGAGCCCAGCAAGTTGACTCTGGGTTGGCTGTGAATGTGCCACTTTACTCCAGCCTGGGAGATGAAGTGAGACTCCAACTCAAAAAAAAAAAAAAAAATCTATGAACTACATGTTATGGTGATGGAACTTGAGGACCTTTTCCTAAGCGAAATAAATGAATCACAGAAAGGCAAATGCCATAGTATGATGCCATTCGTAGAAGACATTAGCGTAGTCACTCAGAAACAGAAGGTACAGCAGTGGCAGCCAGGGTTTGGTGGGGGGAAGATGGGGAGTCATTGTTTAATGGGTACAAAGTTTCAGTTTTGCAAGATGAAAAGTTCTAGACATGGGTTGCATGACAACTGAAGACGCAACATTATTGCACACTTAAAAATGGTGAAGAGTGTTAATTTTCTGTTATATGTTAATTTGCCACAATTTTTAATAGTCTATGAATTGGCTCACAGTACAACCCAATCAGGGCTTGACTCACTCACAAGAAAGCTTCGGTGAGGGATAAAGGAACACAGGTGACGACCTCCTATCACAGATTTTTCCTCATCTGAAAATAGTCCACACCTCAACTACAGCAAAGCCACGATGAACTGCGGTTTAACTGTTCACAAAACTAACCCTCCCTAAGAAGGAACTTCTCAAGATGAAGGAAAAGATGTCATATATCCAAGTACCTGTTGTGTCTTAACACGCCAACAGGCGGATGCCATCGAGTGGCTGAGCTATTTCCAGTTCCTCTCCACAGACTACTTCACATGTGGGTTGGCTACCTCATGAGCTGCAATAAAAACGTCCGGTTCCAGGGAGAACATAGGAACCATGAAAAGAAGAGGAAACAATACACAAATCTCTGAAAGTCCGGGCCCACTGGCCCTTCACCTCGGGATTCTGGAAAAAAGTATTAGGATAAAAACACCTGGGCCTGTCCCAAGCCTGCTCTTCCCAGGGTAGGAGAGAAATAATAAATGCACCCTCCCACAGACCTGGAACCACCGTCAGTTATTTTTATCACTGGGAATCCTCACAAGAGTTTTTGAGTTTCATCGCTCACAAAACATTCTCACACATATTACCTCACTTAATTCTCATAACAGACCTCCCAGGGGACAGGACAAAGCCAGAGTCTGAATCCTAGAGTCCAACTTGTGTATGCATTCCAGTGCTTAATTACCAGCGAGGGCAAGGTAATTAATCTCAATTAGCTTCATGTTCTCTACCTGGAAAACTGGGTTTATGGTATTTACCTCACAGAATGTTTGAGAATCAGGTAAGATATTGAAAATCAAAGTCCCTTGCAAGTAATATGTGCTCAACAAATAAATATGACTTCCGTTTCTTTCTTCTGACGCTCACTGAAGTTTTTCCTTAGGGCATTGCCTCTACTGGAATTTGCAGCTGCAGACCTTAAGGGACCTTGTAGCTCTCAGACTGCTCAGTGCACACGTGCAGCCCCAGCCCAGGGCAGGGACAGACTGGTGGCTGGTCCTGAAGCTGGTGGCTGCAGGAGGCTCTGGGAACATGGTATCCTCCCCCACCTGCTCCATCCATCCATGAGGAACTTTTACCTTTATTTTCTCAATTTGGGGGGCTTGGGGACATGGTATCCTCCATCCTTCAAACCAGTTTTTAACAGCTTCTCCTCAAATGATCATGGGACAATAGCGGACTGGCCCACCAGTGGAGAGGTCCTGAATGGGCTTTACCTCACACTGTCCCAACACCCGTCACCTCTTGCCCCCCACGCATCAACCCATTCATCTTTAACCACCTCTCAACAGACAAGTCTCCAAGCATTTGTTTGACACTTCCAGGGAAAGCACAGTATTCATCATGATTCTGAAACCATAGTGCCTGGGTTCAAACCCAACACTATTTCTCACTATCCCTGGTTTGACCTCAGCAAGTATTTAACCCTTCTTTGCTTTAGTTTCATGCTTTGTAGAATGAGAATAAAATGAGGCACACAGTAGGCACTCAAAAAAACAAAAAACAAAAAACTAGCTTTGACTTACCAATGTAAAAAACAAACATTTCTAAATATTTATGTGCATATATAAATCCATGGTGAAAATTCTGGAATGATACTCTTTACTATGGTACTCTTTAAGGAACATTTGAGGGCGAACGTTTATTTTATGTATATACCTGTAGCATTTTATAAGCATATATTATTTTTGTAATCTAAGCACACTTTAAAGAAAATATAGAGTGAAGCAAAGGGAGGGAGACGAGGGAAAGGGAAAAGAGAGAAAAGAGGAGAAATGGCTTGCTTGAGGCAGAAACTAAGGGCAGGATCACAAAGAGTCTTGCCTGGTCGAGAAGTCCTGGTTATGGTTTCAGTGCTATTTAAGAGTTCCTAGTGCCTTGGCTGGGAAACCTTCTGCTGTATATGTCTGTCAGCCCAGTGTAAATTTCCTCCATGTTTTGTGGAGGGGTGGGGGGGAGATATAGTGATTTAGCAAAGTTCTGGGGAAACCCAGTTCTGAACCAAGTGGTCCTGGGTTGGAGGAGCGGATGGAGAGGTTTTGACCTCATTCACAGTAGGAGAGTCACCCAGCCTCCTGGAGCACTTCAGGGAGTGAGAGGCAGCATTCCTGGGTCTCGGGGAACTAAGGGGACATCATCCAGGAAGCCCTAGGGTACTTCCATACCGCCAGGTAGGAAATACTTCCAGGAGACCTGGGCATATCCCCCAAAGGATGTCTAGGCCATTTTGCCTGGAAGGAATGAAGGAGGGCTCTGCTGCTTATGGAAGAATCTTCTAAACTGCCTCAGTTTCTCCTAGTTTTCCCAGTATCTCAAGAGATAGAGGCTGAAGCAAGCAAAGGTTTTTTTTACTATCTTCTGTGCAGAACCCTCACAGGGCTAGTCACCTTTTTTTCTCCATCCTAAAAATACAGTACTGTGTCTACCAAAAAAAAAAAAAAATCATATCCTTTTATGGCAAAAGTTACATCATCACAACCCCAAGAGCAATGTTGTCTGTGCCTCACATGTAGCCAAGACCTTCACTGAGACAGCCCACATTTCTGGCTTTTTCAGAGGGTGAAAACCTCCTTGTTACTAACTCCTCTCACATTATTTCCAGTGGGTAAAAAGCTTATCAGCTCACAAAATGCATGTCCCAAGAAGCTTGCATTTCTGGAGAAACTACCTAATATACAGAACATATTCTATGAAAATTTATTTTCAGATTCCAAATGCCACATTGCATCTATCCATGGACAGGTGTCTTACGGGCCCCAACCCAAACAAATAGTTATTCTAGATGGCAACCAGGAATATAACAATATTTCCCCAACTTTATTAATGCCTCTGGCTAACAAAGTACCTCCTCCCCTGACCACAATCTCACCCAAAGGGACAAGATAGATCTGCTATGAAGAAAGATGGCAAAAAGGACCCTTAAGAAGGTGACTCACCTTTCTCATGGCTGCTTGGTGGTGGGGGTGGGGAGGTGACTGGCTTGGACTTATCATAGTTGTTAAAGCTCTGACTGCGTCGGTTGTTAGCAGTGGCTGACCCTCCGCGTGTTTTGGCCTCGCTGCCTGCAACGGATACCCTCGTGGTAGGACCTGGAAGTCTAAAATACAAAAGCAACAGAGTAATGCATTCAGACTCAGGAGAATAACAGTGTCTCAGAAGAAGGAACTGCAACCATGCAGGAGGTAAAACAAACTACACAAGACATTGGGTTTGTGAAGGTTTGCCAGTCAAAAGATTTGGGGGAAACACCACAAACATGTAGGCTAGTAATAACCCCAACAAAGTACAGCAGCAAAATGTTAACAGTTTTCCTTTGAGCAAAGAGAAATTTTGAAGAAAGAATATATTAATATGTTTGCTGATTAAAAAGACAAAGCTCATCTCTTTTTTTCTTCTGAAAGGGGTATTTTTACTTTTATTTATTTATTTTTTTGAGTCAGGATCTTGCTCTGTTGTGCAGACTGGAGTGCAGTGGCACAATCATGGCTCACCACAGCCTTGATCTCCTGAGCTCAGGAGATCCTTCTGCTTCAGTCTCCCAAGAAGCTGGGACTGTAGGTATGTGCCACCATGCCCGGCTAATTTTTTGATTTTTGTGTAGAGATGAGGTCTTGCTATGTTGCCCAGGCTGGTCTTGAATTCCTGGGCTGACATCCCACCTCGGCCTCTGAAAGTGGTGGGATTGCAGGCGTGAACCACCATACCTGGCCTATTTTTACTTTTCAGTAGGGCCAAGCCATGTCATGCTCTAATTCTAACAAGCATGGAACATAAAAGCTTGAGGAGATCCCAAGCTGTTGACCTTGTGTGTGCATCTCTTCTGATCAGTATTAAAAACAGTGTTTGCCAGAATCCATGGATGTAAGCATAAAGAAAAGGACACAATGTATAAATGTAATAAAGGAAATCGCTACCACTCAGAACCCAACACATCTGCAATGAAAACATAAGATCTGGTTGGGAACACTTGTCCAGACATACATTTCCCTTCAACACCTGACAACCTGTCTCTAATAGGCACTACTTTGAGGCTGAACCCCGGCATTTTTGCACAATAGATGGATAAAATCATACATTCTTTCTGTAAAATCAGCAGGAATTTGTTAGCCTAAAGACAAACACATACTCTCCCTTTAAATAAAACACCTCATTTTGGGTGTTTGGGAAATAAAGTCACCAGACTTCTTTGTAATATGTCTAAAGATATTAAGGTCCATTCCTCAAAGGGTTAACCGTAAGACTCCCCAAATCAGAAATTTGGTCCAGAGAATTGCTAAACAGGCTGTTTCCAATAATTAAAGTTGAAAGATGAATAAATGATGAAATATTTAGTTATCTCTTTCAGCTAAGACCCACTTAGCTGTGTTTAAAAGCCACTGGAACCCCAGCCGACTAGCATTAGATCTAGTGATAAGTCTGAATTTTCAACTCATAAAGCTTTCAGCCTTCTCTTTCCATGGAAATCTGTAAGCACCAAAGAAGACTGCAGTCTGGAAGCATTTTAGATACAAGCAAGCAATCACTTTAAACTTTTTCTTGTTGGCTGAGCAAGAAAGATGGCTGCAGAGTAAACAGAGAACATGAGCTGGTGTGAGAGGACTGTAAAATTTATACAGTTAAGAAGAAGCTGGCCCAATTCCCTGATGGGGAGTTGGGAGAGAAGGAAGGAGGTGGCTCTTTCCCTAACACGTTGCAGTGAGAAAGAACTTTAAGACACCATATCCCACTGTACTAGGAGGATCTGATCCCTCGGTTAATTATTCCATCTTGTTTGCAGAGGTTACTCACCTCTGCAAACAAAGATAGGAACAGAACAGGATACGATAAACCAGCAGTGTCAGTGCCTGCGTTTGGGGACCACATATGGCTAGCACAACTGGCCAAGGAGATCCAGCCATGGAATCTTGGTACCTCTCGGTTCTGCCTCCAATGCAAACAATGCCCTGCCAGTCCTCCAAGGCAGTGTTATCTGAGTATTCACATCCAATGGCAGATCTTCTGCGGGTGCAGACATGGGGCTCCCTTGGGCTGGACTTATTTTACCCAGCCGTAGTCTGCAGGAGACTTTATGCCCACAGATAGGCCTGGAAAAGGATTATAGACTTGTTCCAAGATGATGTCACAGCAATGGTATTGAGTGGTGCAGGGGAACACAGGTCACAGACTTCTACTTTTGAGGGGAATTTGCAAAGAGCAGAGAAGCAAAAACAATAAAGAGGGAAAGATGCATTCCTTTCAAAGCTGCTGGAGAGCCCCTACCGTGCCGACCCCAGGCTGAACCACAGCAGGTGTTTAGGACAGCACAGGGATAGGCAATCAAAGTGTAGGAAGGGACAGGTATGACCTTGAATCAGGCCCACAGTCTGGTCCCCTGTGAGGCAGTGTGGTATAGTGGATAGAACACAGTTTTTCCACACATCAGCCACTGGATTGGACCAGTCTTAAAACCTCTCTGAGACTCATGTTCCTTACCTGTAACTTTGGAATAATCAATAAACTACCCAGTGGGATAGCTGTAAATTTGAAATGGGGCTTAATGTCTGGCTGACTCATATCAGTTCTCTTTCTTATCCTCTCTGCTGAACACAGATACATATGGACATTGTCATAATGGAAACATTCTGTGGCACAAGAAAGAATCACACAAATCAGGAGAAAAATAGATGGTTCTAGGTCAAAGTATCAGAGACAGCTGGACAAAAATCAACATACAAGAATCTGAGATAAATATTTTCAAAGAGGCTAGATAGGCTCTGGCAAGCAGAGCTCATCATCTCCCTAAAGAACATTCCAGAAGAGAAATTACTTCATCCAAGTATCTGTGGATGACTGAGGTCTTATACTTGGGGCACTTCTGAATTATCTGTGGGGCCCACATTTTGGGGTAAGATATTCCTGGTTTTGGATTAACTAAGACAGTTCTGGGTTTCCCATGGGTGGTCCTGGTCAGATTATCTTCACTCAATAGTCAGAATCTAGACACTCCGTTGGTGGGAGCAGCATGTCCTTCAAATGCCTGTAGCATTGTGCCAAGCCTTCTGGGACATGGAGAAGGAGTTCTTAAGGACAGCTGACATGGCAAATGGAGAATGGTTTCCACGTAGCCATCAAAAGCCACCACAAAGGTCAAGTCAACTCATGTCCACCCCTTACCACTATCACCTCCTCACCCTAGTCAGAACAGCTTCCTGAACTTGACTCAATCAGGAAACTGGGTGGAGACGAAGCAATCTCTTCCACCTTTCAGTGAAAATCTCTGTTGACATGCAGTTTAACACGTGGTTCTGTGTGAAAGGCTTGGAGTGTCACTTATTCCAAAATAAGGCCCCTCCATCTGCCTGAAATTTTCAATAAAATCCACATCACAAATAAAGGCCTTAGTGCACATGTGGTGGGTGGAAAGTAAGAAAAAGGGTGAAGTCTGGACTTGCCCATGAGGGAACTGAAACATCCTGTGACGGGTCCGTCCACAAACTGAATGAACTCAGACTGGACTTTAAGTACAGGAGTTCAGATGCAGGAACACAAAGCCAAAGGTGACCATGAGACCCAAGATACCTGGACAGTGCTGGGAGGTCACTGGGCTTCCCACAAACTGAAGAAGGGGCGGGGCTAGAATGCTCAATCTTTTCTAGCTCTCCAGTGGCTGGCTGACCACAGCTGACATCTAGGTTACATGTGTACTGATACAATTTGAGAGGTTCAGAAGTAATTCGGAGATGGAAATGATGATTTTGAGGGCTGGTGTGATGATCAGGGAAGGTTCCAGATAAAAGAGTCCCCAGAGAAAGACTGGTATGTTGAATGGGAATGTGAGTTGAAGACGGGCAGGGGGTAGAGTGTGACACAGAGAGGGAAAGGCTGTATAAGGGGCAGAGGAAAGAAAGGGCCAGTGTGTGCTGGGACTTGGGCACAGGCTGGAGAAGCAGCAGGGCCAGGGAAGGGAAGACCTTGGATGTCCTACTAGGAAGCTGGACTCTGTCCTGTCCTCCAGCAATGAAGTCTTAATTAGCAAGACTGAGAGCAGAGCCAGAGTTGAAAAGCTGAGCATGCTCTAATTTACCAGTGAGACAGACCCAAGGCCTCTGGCTATCATTTTGAAGTTCATTACTGTTAACATCCCTGTGTATCATGGGAACTCCTATCAACCTCCAGCCTGGAAGCATCTGCTGTCTGTGGCATTAGGATCCCGACCTGCCGAAAAGCTGAGTCTTGCTCACGTGGAACAGGTGCAGGTGTCACAACAGATGCTGCCCACTGGGCCTGCCTCACTGAAGAAGCAAGGTGTAAGTGGTAAGCAAGGCGGGTCAACCCCCTGTCACTGACACCACCAGAAAGGCCCAATGTCGCCTTTGGACGTGATCATTCCACGTCCAAAACACAGTTACCAATGGCAGAGAACACAGATGGGCTGTCTGAAACATCTCCATGTTGGGTTTTCAAGAAATGAAGGGAAGTGGTATAACAATCCTGCTGTAGTTAGAGCCAGGGTCAAGTTCTCCAACGCTTGCAGTGCCAAGCTGGCAGGGCGGTAAAACTGTTATTCCCGGCACGTAACTGACGAGAGCATCACTGCTCCTCCACTCCACGCACTATATGTGCTCATGGCAAGAAAGCAATTCTTCCCCCCTAAACCACTTCAAAGGCTGGGAGTAGAGGGTGGCCCCTTCCAGAAAGGATGGCAGCTTGTGTGCACATGCTGAGAGGGGGTCATAATCAGAGATGCTTTTCTACCAGACAAGATGATTAAATGCTACATCTTTCATTTCCATGGCATCTGCTTTTCAGCAGCTGGGCAGAGAGGACCAAACTACTAACCCCACTGATTCCTTTCCACAGGATGGTCACCGTGTAGAGATCACCTCTGTGGGACTTGCTAGAGGTGGCCTGGTTGCCTTACCTGGTCCAGATCAACCCCAAACAGCAACATTGCCATCTCTGCTATTTGTGGTGCACAGATTATACACCAGGTACTAAGGAATGATGTTATCAATATATAATTTATTATTAATTAAATGATTCTGTTCAGTCCTCATCACACTGTGAGCGAGCTAGGACTGACCCATTTAGCCAATAAGGAAACACAAGTTCATGAAG